CTCGCTAGCTCAACCTGGTCCCAGCGACTTGTGATATTTTGTTCCCGCTTATAGGAGTACCCAGAATACACATCTTCCAGGTGCTGGTACTTTGTCTGCATTGTGGGTCTCTGATTTCCCTCTTGGTCATTGGAAAGACTCCTCTGTATGTTGTTGATCGTCTGTCTCCTTCAATCTCTCTGGTTTCATTAGCAGCTTGGTCTGCTGCCTCATTTCCTTCTATTCCAACATGGCTTGGAATCCACTGGATTTTTATTGTGGCTGTGGCGTCACTGAACTTGCGCGCAAATCATTTATGTCCGAGTTGTTGCCTAGCAGCCCCGTGCAGAGGGACTGACTGTCAGTCAAGATCAGCACATTGGTTCTACTGTGGCAATTGTCAGCAATCCATTGTGCAGCAGACACCATTGCCTGGCATTGCTCGTGCTAAGATGATGTAAGGAATGCACCTTTAGTTTTAATAATTTCTGTTCGTGGTGGTTCATCATTCATTATCACCACTGCTGCTGCTCCCCCTTCGCGGTATCCTGCAACAGCCGATCCATCGGTGAAAATTGTCACATTCGCACCAACCTCTTTGATCACATCCTCTGCAGCTTCACGTGCCTTTACATGATCACCACCTTTGCCTTTTACTCCTCTCAGTTCTGTCCGAATTTCGATTTCGCCATGGGTCTCCCATGGACAAGCTCTCACCAGATTGATCGGCCATCGATTCTCTGCTTCAGGGGGGGATGTGGTCTGCTAGATCGGTGACCATCCGAAACCAACGTTTCCTTCTGTTTTTTAGGCTTGACTGCTTGATCAGGGGCTTTCTTTCTATTATGGTTGTCTGGTAATCTCTTGGCCATCTCTACAGACTTGAGGCATGTTCTTTTTGTATAGGTGGTGTAGTGCTCAGTTCTGATCTTCTGTTAGTGTTGTTTTCAGCTGACCTTATACAAGGCGGAGGGCTTTGTTTTGTATTCTGTTCAGGGCCTTTGCACTAGATCTAGTCTCACTCAGCCAAGGCTGCCACGCTGGGGCAGCATAATCCATCTTGCTTTTCACAAACATCTGATATACTTTCTTGAGCGACTCCTTACCCCAGCCCCATTTCGAGTTGCTGACAGCACCGATAATCTTCATTTTTAAGGTTACATTTTTGGACACTTCCTCAATGTGCTTGTTGAAGGTTAGCTGTCTATCCAGGAAGACGCCCAGCAGGCGAGGAGTGGGGCTGAATGGTATCTTTTTCCCTTCGATCTGAATTATTGGTTGCCACGTTGCCTCCTTCACCTATTTTGAGAAGATGCACACCTCACTCTGCAGCCGACACTCAAGTCATTGCAAAGAGGCATCTCTACTCGCTGATGATGATGATGATGATGATGATGATGATGATGATGATGATGATGATGATGATACTCTGTAAGTCTATTTTACACGCAGTTCCTCGGAGAGTGAAGAATTAAAATTCTTCAAAACAATGCAAGTTCAAAGACTCCAGTTTAAGGTATCGAATCAGGCCCATCCTTCCCATAGTCTAGTTCAGAATACCAGGGATGTTGTTTTAGCTAAAGTAACGTATGCTAATGGTGACAGGTTGCTGTACGGGCGTCAGTGATAAATGGTTGGATTCCTCGTCTTCACACACAGACAGCCTGAATCTAAGTCCATTATGGGGAAAGTCTGTTCTTGGAGCATCTCCGTTATTCTACCGGGACACGGTTTTCCTCCAAGATCTAGCTCTGGTTGGCCCTGACTGGCAGAGTGGTGGAAGCAGCCCACCACCATCTAAATTAATCTAAAAGTAGGTCAAAGGAGGCTCAAAGTACTTACAGTAATATTTACAATGATGTTCGGCCACCTGTAAATATTGCTGTAAGTATACTAACACAAATATGTCACTGATATGGACTTTAAGGCAACAACAAAAATGTAACTGCAGACACATTTAGTCCACTCAACCCCCTTCCCCTGCCACATTGAATGATCTAAAAATTGCAATATTATTATTTTTATCGCTTCCAAAAAGTTTATGGACAATACAACACCGAATTCATTCACCTTTCTGACATGCGTGTGGTGGGGAAATGTTGATGACGGCACAAAGAAACAAGCATCCGGAATTATGTTGAATCCAGCGAAGCTGAGTAAAAAATGCTTCATTTAGTGAGTTTGTTTTATATAATAATATAGCAGGATAGGTCATCGCCCCTCACTGATCAGTATGGTAAGATGACCCCCCCCTCCCCCGCCCCCACAAGCCCAAACAGTACATTGCATTGATATATATCTCATTGATCGGGGACCCGAAGAGCAGTGTGGCATAGTGACTGATGGGAAATCGAAGAGAAATAATACTAATCTTCTGTGAGCTTTAGAATAAAGACGATAAGAAAATTTTAAAAAGGGGGGGAGGGCGAGCGAGCGAGCGAAAGAGCGAGAGAGAGAGAGAGAGAGAGAGAGA